AACGATAGGCTTATAACTATATAAGATAGATTGGGACAAGAAAAATTGTCTAGCATGATACAGTGAACGAACTTTCCTATCAGCAGATCTAGCATTTGATTCAATATAATCTTTTCACTTTATGTCAGTGGAACACATTAACCTGACACGCGGTACATTGAGTCATTCTCCTAGAGGTTATCATCAGCCATGCTGATGGAAAGCAGAAACAGGTTCTTTCAGATGACAAGTTTTATGCTAACAGTTTTGTTCCTCGCACTTCTCGCTTGTGGAACTCTCTTCCGACTTCTCGCTTCCCAGTCAACTGTGATCTTCTAAAATTTAGATGCAATTTCAATCGTTATCTTCTGTCTTCTTAAATCCTGTTCTTTTATTGTTCTCTCTCCTTAACAGTGTTTTCTCCTATTCTCAATTTGTTCCTCAAAATTTGAAGCACAGTACTAAATTGGCAGCAAGGTCTCATCTTTTTACATTTGAAAAGATTAGATGTAACTGTAAGTTCTATGTTAGCAGTTTCTTCTATAACACTTCTTGCTTATGGAACTCTATTCTGGTTTATAGCTTCCCAGTCAACTTTGATCTTCGTATTCTCCCACTCAGTAACACTTGCGTCTTAGTGGCTTTATTACCTTCATTGGGGAGAATGAATAAAAAATTTAAAGCAAATAACATATCAATAGAATGTGATGATAAATTATTGGTCATAATTCATGATGAGTAAATTTTGTTTACAGTAAGATTTACATATGCTCTCTGTGAAATAAAAAAAGGGATTAAAGAGAAATTGTAGAGAAATTGAAAATTCGATGGACAAAATATTTGGATCTCGTTAACGATTCTGTGAACAGATGTTATATATAAGAAAAGATATTTTCATAAAAAATACAAAATCATGTCATAAAATGATCGATTTTCTTTCTTATTGATTGAATATTGATTATCAACAAAAATACTTTGCCCCATTTTATTTATTTATTTATTGATTTTATTATAGCACAGAAATGGGGGATAAGTTTAATACAAAAAAAAAAAAACAATACAAAACTGCTCACCCACTGTTCACATGCGTCAATGAAAATTTCATCTACTATAACTTTTTTCAGGCCATAATAGTAACATTTATTTTTTAGCACTCAAGAAATATATATATAGACTTCAACTCAATTTAATTTAAAGGATTATATTGAAGTTTTCGGCTCTTGTTTTGAAACATGAGACCTCTTATTTTTTAAATAAATAATTATATATATATATATATATATATATATATATATATATATATATATATATATATATATATATAAATATGTGTGTGTGTGTGTGTGCATACATATATACATATATATATATGTATACACACACACACACACATTTTATAAATTATTAGGAGGATTTGATAATTATATTTAAGTAATTCATCGAATCTAGAAGAAACCTCAACAGACTTCAGAAAGCATCAGACGGCCGTTTCATCCTTTCGGTGGAACAGTTGGTATGATGTTTGCTTGATAACTTAACTGTCAGGGTTTCAATTCTCGGTAGTGGATGCTCACTGCTGATGAGTCCCAACTATAGGACGAAACGGACGTCCAGTGCTTTCTGCATTCTGTTGAGGTTTCTTTCAGACACGATGAATTACTTATATATATATATACTTTAAAGAAAAACAGACCACTTTAAGGTTCCATTATAATAATTTATTTCACCAGAGCCCTTTTAAGGGACGCTGGATCATCAAAAAGGGCTCTGGTGAAATAAATTATTATAATGGAACCCTAAAATGGTCTGTTTTTCTTTAAATTATTAGCTCTGGATTTACATTGAGCTCTCAGGATTTCATCCTCCTTGGGACTACCCATACGAATTACCAAGATTTTCATAACTTATATATATATATATATATATATATATATATATATATATATATATATATATGTATGTATATATATATATTATGAAATGGACTAAATCCGACAATTATTTTAATATATTTTCTGTTTTATACCTCATTTTCATAGATACAATTATTTAAGTAAATGCTCTGTTTATAATAAAGGGTATTAATTACATTTACCCGCCTGAATACGAAATTTCAAGGAAATTCAGGCCGGTAAATGTAATTAATACTATTTATTATAAATAGACCATTTACTTACACAGACATATATATATATATATATATATATATATATATATATATATATATATATATATATATATATATATATATATAAACAAATCTAGTTTATTCCTGCCTCAAAAACAAATCTAGTGTCACTGACAAAACTAACCTGCCCGACGGTTTCGAAAAGGGCCTCCAATCGGTTGTGAACTGGGGCAGGAATTGGCTGGTCAACTTTAATGCTTCAAAAACAAAACTGCTCTCTATTAATCACCACAGAGATCCTTCCCTGCCCTCCATTAGAATGTCTGATGGTCAACTTCTCGAGAGCAACTCTCTGCAGCTGTTCAGTCTCACGTTGACTGCTGACCTGAGATGGAACAAATACATTGAGTCAATTGCTTCATCCACCGCAAGGGAAGTTGGCTCCCTGTGCCGCGCCAGCAAATTTTTCTCCCCGAAATCGATCCTCCAGATCTACAAATCAACAATTCGCCCTTGCATGGAGTATTGCTGCCATATATGGTCTGGAGCCCCTTCTGTTTGCCTTGGGGTTCTTGATAGACTCCAGAGGCGGATATGGAATATAATCGGCCCTGATCTGGCATCTCGTCTACAGTCACTTTCTCACAGACGCGCCGTCGCATCTCTCTGTCTGTTTTACAAATACTTTCATGGCAATTGCTCCGAGGAGCTGCATTCGCTGGTTCCCAGACTTCATGAGTTCAAGCGCCCTACGAAGCTGGCATCCCGCTCTAACCCCTTCACTGTCGAAACTCCTAAATGTAGCCGTCTCTTCTACTCCAATAGCTTCATGTCTTGCACCTCTCGCCTGTGGAACTCCATTCCCTATTCCAGTTTCCCTGAGAGCTATAATCTCCAGCTATTCAAATGTAATGTCAATTGACATCTCCAGTTGCTTTGATCTATGCACTACCCTTCTCCTCATCCTTTCTTCTATCACTCCTATCTGATCTTGCTCCAAATTTTCTGTAACCCCTTGCGTCCTAGTGGCTTCTTGCCTTGCTTGGGGTGAAACGCTTAATATATATATATATATATATATATATATATATATATATATGAAGAAATATAGTCTTAAGGTGTGCTATATTTATGGGATAAAGTGCTCAATATCAGAGATAGAGCGTATGTAAATATAAAAGTGAACACTGAAGTCAACACTTGGAGGCGACAGGCTGTTTCATGCTGGACGCAATCGTCGTGGCCTGACGATTGCGTCTAGCATGAAAAAGCCTGTCGCCTCTAAGAGTTGACTTCAATGTTCACTTTTATATATATATATATATATATATATATATGCGTGTGTGTGTGTGTGTGCAGATATGTAGAAAAATAGAAAAGAACACGTTAGGTAATTAATCCGGAGTTCTTTAGCATTTTTTGTTTTTTCAAAAACAGTGCTCCATACAGAAGTAGAGCTTAAATTATAATTATTTAAAAAAAAATATGATTCCTTCGTTACATAAGAGTTCTCATGCTTCAAAAACGAGAGATGAAAACCTCAATACAATTATTAAAATTAAATTGAATTAAAGTATCAACCCTGTTTCATCCTCAAGCGAAAATGTAGGAATAACCAATCTTGAAATTTACGCATCGTTATAAGCATATTCATTCGCAAAATTAATTACTATGGAAACGGCTGAGGCGACCATTTTGATAAGGGGTCTAAGAGTTAATTTTTATCCACATATCAGTCACCTTCGGAAAGAGGTCAAGCCGAGGTAAGGCTGGGTGTGTGGTAACGATATATATTTATATATATATATATATATATATATATATATATATATATATATCCTCCCATTTCAATATATCACTTCCGTTAAGTTAACCGTCTAAATAGGTCACGGTCTGGTCACTCCTCCTCCCCCAATAAAGAATATACTTGAGAGAGATATGAAATTAATCCCTCCCTATACTCTACCATGTCTCTTTAACTACTCCTTTTACACTCTCTCTTAAATTACAAAAACTTACACTACCCATCAATTTTAATTTCATTTTTCGTTTCATTTTTGGAAGTGTTATCTGATGATCCGGCGTCCTTTAAAAGGGCTCTGGTGAAATAAATTATTATAATGGTACCTTAAAGTGGTCTGTTTTTCTTTTAAATATTAGCTCTGGATTTACATTGAGCTCTCAGGATTTCTTCCTCCTTGGGATTACCCATACGGATTACCAAGTTCTTCATAACTTAAATATATATATATATATATATATATATATATATATATATATATATATATATATATATATATACACACACATATATATATATATATATATGTGTGTGTGAGTGTCTAAGATGCAATACATGTAAACTCCGCTATCGAACCACTATTAAGGAATTAAAGACAAAAAGAACGTACTATTGGCGTCTACGTATTCCATCTTATATACCTTTTACAGATATTTCATATCGATTATTTACCATTTTATATATATCAGAAAGATGCCATGTACATAGGCAAGGTAGACAGTGCCTACCCCGAATAAAATACATCACCAGCCATGTTTTCCTTCAGTGGTACATCATGCACCTAATCCAACAAAATTATGAAGGTTTCTCTGATTATTATGTAAAATATTTTATTTTTTTGTACATTTACTACATAAAAATCACCAAGCAGCCTACCCTGAGTAATTACTGACGCCATATATATATATATATATATATATATATATATATATATATATATATATATATATGTGTGTGTGCGTGCAACTTAATTCGAGTCCTCATCTCAAAAAGCTGTTATTTGTGAGACAGTTTCTCATTGGTGGCAAGATTGGCTAAATGTCTGTCTGTAATCACAGAAAGGAACTCTCAAATAAGCCCCACAATCCAGTATCATTCTTCGATTCTTCCGGTAATGGCTTGTTTAAAAATCTTTCGCGAAAGTTCTGGTAGCTTTGAATTTGGGGCTTCAGCGTTGTAAGACGCTGACTCGATTTCAAGTTCAAGGGAGACGGCGTGAGAACACCACTCAAGCCGAGAACCACGTGGATCAAAACGAGTGACGTGCACAACAGGCCGCAAATGCCGAACACAACCGACAGGTGTAAACGGCGGGAAGACTCGCGCGCTTTTCCTTTCACGAGTGAATGGCGCGATTTTATCCAGAAAAAAAGCGAAATGCTTCCGAATAATGGATTTACGAGAAGAGTAACGACGGCAAGCCACTGGTAGATTGATGAATGACAATGATATCTGAAAAGGAAAAAAAAAAATGATATACAGACATATAGACAAACGTTCATCCAAACAATGTTTCTCAACCTTTTTAAGCAACGCCACACCCACGAGTAAATGAAAATATCACGGCACACTTTACAATATCTTTGAAGAGTTTACTACATTTATTATGCAATCAAACCATACATGTAAAAAATACACACACTAATATGAACTTGGTTTATTTCAATGTTTCTATTCAACTATTTGTGCAGCTTATTTAGTTTGAAACCCGTGCCTGGTGTTTTGTTGTGATTTCTTGAATGTTTGGTCGAATGTGATAAGCAGACCCTCATTTCCTCTTCAGTTCAGCGTAGTCTTTCTCGCTTCTTATTTTTGATGTTGTTTAGGGTTGAGAAGCCTAATTCATATAAGTAGAAAATTGCAATAAAGCCTTTTTAGCTAATGAAGGATATTCCTTTTGTATTGAAATCCAAAAATGTATCTATGGGTATCGTCGAATGTTTTATTTTGAGCCTTCCATCACTAGAAATGGTGGCCAATTCTTCTTCTTCACATAACTAAAGTTCAATATTAGAAGGAACATTTATGAACGGATTTCGAATCCAATCACGCTTTCGCGGCACACTTAAGAGAGCTGCGCGGCACACTATTGGGCCGCGGCACAGCGGTTGAGAAGTTACTGATCCAATACAAAGCCTATTGGCAAATCAACTTAATGAGGTTACTGGATGGACGTAAGATGGAGATGTAAGCACCTGATCGGGGGATTGGACATTTTGTAGTGCAAGAAAATGTCTTAATTGCTGTCGTTCCCAGGTCCCCCCCCCTGACCCGTGGTGGTAGCAACTATGGGAAAATAGTGAACCCCCAAACCAAAAAAATATGAATGTATAAAAATACGTTTTCATAGTAAAAATACCAGCAATATATATTTATAGCAAAATGACCAACAATACATTTTATCTGTAGTTGACCGCATTCGAAATATATTTAGTTGAAGCCATAAAATTGCGAGGTTGGTATGCCGCTGAACAAAATCAATTCACCAAGAATTAAGCGCCTATTATCAAGATATTTTAATCATTTCACTCCAAACAAGACAATAAAGCCACTAAGACGCAAGAGGGGGGTGTTTACTGAGGACAAAGGACAATAAAGTGAAAGAAACTGAAAAACGTTACTGAGGAGAAAGGATAATAAAAAAAAAACTATGCAAGCCTGTTTTGTAAATTTTGTATTCTGTGTTTTCTTTCTTTTTTTTTTTTTTTTCAAAGCAATTCAACCCAAGCAAGGCGGGAGTGCCACTAGCACGTAAAGGGTTACGGAGGATTGAGAACAAGAGTAAAAAAGCGTGTTTGAGAAAAAAAAAGGATACAGAGAAGGACAGGGAACAAGATTAAGGTATCACAAGATGTCTATTGACATTACACTTAATAACTAAATTAATTATAACCAGCGAAAGTTCGTCGGAACAGTTGCCGTGAAAATACTTGTAGAAGAGACAGAGGGAAGCCACGGCACGTCTGTGAGAAAGCGACTGTAGACTAGTGTTATGGTCCAAGTTCCTTGTACCACGGTGATGGTCCAAGGTTAGAACCAATGAAAGAATAACACAGACACAGGTATGGAATACAAAGATATATTACAACAGAAATATAATACAAAGAAGTAGAAGTATTAGTAATGACTATCAGATTTGGTTAGAGTGAACTATGTTGTCTCGACAAGTATCACTATTCCAATGTCCTTACAATATGCTCTCAATTATCTCTCCTCGTCTTACAATCTCCATATACCTCTTGAGAGGCGCAGTATTTATAATGTCAGAAATAGTCCATTATTATTACGGGTAAGTTCCCATAACAACTAGATTCCAGATCAGGACCTATCATCTTGCATATTCGTCTCTGGATTTTGTCGAGGACCGCGAGACGTACAGCGGGAGCAACAGGTCATATATGACAGCAATATTCCATGCAAGGATGGATGGTTGATTTATAGATGTGAGGGTGGGATCAGACGGGAAAAACTTTCTGGCACGACACAGAGAATCAAGTCTCCTTGCGGTAGATGAAGCTATTGATTCAATGTATTTATTCCACCTCATGTCAGTCGACAGCGTGAGACCAAGCAGGCGTAACGAGGTGCTCTCAAAGAGTTGGGAATCAGCCGTTCTGGTGGGAGACAGGAAGGGTTCTTTGTGGTGGGTAAAGGAGAGCAGTTTCGTTCTGGAGGCATTAAAGTTTACAAGCTATTTCTTGCTTCAGTCAACCACAGATTGGAAGTCCTTTTCAAGATCAGCGGCCAGGTTTTGTGGCTATGTTTTGTCAACGGTGCCAGCTTTATTATTGAGGCAGGTGTAAATAGTAGTGTCGTCTGCGTAGATGCCTTCTTGGGAACTGATTTTTTCATGTCATTTAATAGATGCAAATTTCTCTCAAATTTCATATCGGATTAAGAGCCTTGTGTTTTTTAGTAGCGCCAAACTCAGGATAAGAGGTCTGATGTTCTCTCTTTCCCTTCCCCTCCCCACAAAAAGAATCCTCTTACATCTTACTGAAAAATTCCTAGGCAGAAACCAAGGTTTTCTGGTCGCCAGAAGATACAGTCTGAACAATTGTTCTATGCTTACATCTATAGTCTGAGCAGAAGTCTCAAGAAGCTGTAAATATTAACCTTTCGACGGGATTCATTTAAGTTTCTAGAAATTCTTCCAAAAAACATAGTTTGGCGTTAAGTTGCTCTATCAAATAATGCAACAAAATCTAGATCTTCGAATAGTTTCGGAAATCCTACCGAATATCTAAAATAAATGTTATCCAAGAGTTTATGATGATTTGAAAATAAAATAAGAGGGGACTTTAAAAATACACAATTCAATGATCTATGAACTCTTAATAGACCCCCCCCCACAGGAAGTAGCTTAAATTACAAATGAAGGTATATCAAAAGTGGGCTCTCAAAAGCTAAGTAAAGTATTAAGAAACAGGAAAATTTCATTAGAAACAAAGAAAAGAGTGATATGTAGTATCAATCCTCTTAGGTCAGATAACGATGGACAGATGAAGAGGAGACTTTAGGTAATAGAGATGAGGTTCTATAGAAGGAAGCTGAGAATAACATGGACAGAACATATAAATCATGAGGAAGTTTAAAAAATGGAAAGAAAAGGACATAATTAGGAAAGAGGGTTTGGAGAATTTGAGACTCACAGGACATACTGAATACAAGAGAGACAGAGGAAAACGGTGAGTAATTAGTAAACTAATGAGGTTGTGTACAAATAAATATTTCTCAGTAGCCATCCCCTGACGAGTGAACGGAGCGATTCCTGGAGGGTCCGTCTACGAAACTCTGGAGTCGGGATTCTGAAGGTAACATCAGTCAGCTAAGTGACAAACTTTTTACTTGTATTAATTCTCTCTCTCTCTCTCTTTTATATATATATATATATATATATATATATATATATATATATATATGGACAGGAATCCCTCAGTTATACATGTTTCATTAAAGTCGACAGACAAGGTACTGCGATTATGCTTTTTCTTGTGTTAGAACAAGTGTTTTATTTTCTCAACACACAGTGTGTAGAAACTGTCCAAATGTTCTGTAATTCTGAGTGCTTTTAGCCATTATCAAGGAGGAATTTATTTTTGCTTTTTAATTGGATGTATGGCTTGTGTGTATGTTTCTAGGGTTATAGGGATATTTTTTTCCGAACACAGCACATTCTGACCGTGTTCGTAGTTAATATTATTGAGTGTTGTCTTTTTCTTTTTTATTATTAAGGTTTCCATTATTTTTAATATTTTTTTACATGTGGATGTTATTATATTTGTATTTTCTACTAGTATGTTTCGGATGGCGTCTGGTAAGTTTGTGTATGTGTTTAAATGGGTTCTAATGGAAATGTGATCAGATAGGTGTAATGTAAGGCGACTGGATAGGCATTTCGTAGTGTCACTGATATAATTATTTATGAGTTCAGTTTGATCAGGAACACATTTCCTAAAGGGGCCATTTGAAGCCATAAATAATCTTCGTTCATTGTAATTTTTATTTTGCTGGTGTGTTATTATTTTTTAGGATAAGGTTAGCTGTTTTAAACTTTTGCATTAGATAATTAAGTTGAAGTCATATATATATATATATATATATATATATATATATATATATATATATATATATATATATATGCAGCGAGAGAAAGTTGGCTCTCTGTACCGCGCCAGCAAATTTTTCTCCCCCCGAATCGATACTTCAAATATATAAATCAACCATTCGCCCTTGCATGGAGTATTGCTGCCATATATGGTCTGGGGCACCTTCTGTTTACCTCGGAGTTCTTGACAAGATCCAGCGACGGATATGTAATCTAATTGGCCCTGATCTGGCGTCTCGTCTGCAGTCACTTTCTCACAGACGCGCCGTCGCCTCTCTCTGTCTTTTTTTTTCTACAAATACTTTCATGGTAATTTGCTCCGATGAGCTGCTTTCACTGGTTCCCAGACTCCATGAATTCAAGCGCCCTACGAGGCTGGCATCCCGCTCCCCCACCCTTACACTGTAGAAACTTTTAAATGTAGCCGTCTCTTCTACTCCAATAGCTTCATACCTCGCATCTTTCGCCTGTGGAACACCCTTCTCAATTACTGTTTCCCTGAGAGCTATAATCTCCAACTATTCAAATGTAATGTCAATCGACATCTCAATTACCTTGATCTACCCACTATCCTTCTCCTCATCCTTTCTTCTATCACTCCCCATCTGCTCTCGCTCCAAATCTTCTGCACCCCCCTGCATCCCTAGTGGCTTCACGCCTTGCTCATGGCGTAATGCTTAATAATATATATATATATATATATATATATATATATATATATATATATATATATTAATGAAATAGTGGGGTTTTACTCATTACTGCTACATATTTCTATCACTTCAACGTTATTTCTTCTAACGACTGTTTCTCCTGAAAGATTCGAATCCCGCTGGAGGGCGCATTTTTTCTTTAATACGATTTCTCGAATATTAAGGCCTGTAGACGAAAATAGAATACTATTTAAAAAAATAAACGGAGCGTCTACTCAAGTATTTAAATAACGTTTAAGTGATAATATATATATATATATATATATATATATATATATTATATATATATATATATATTGTCATCCACAGCCAGACTGTTTCGCTGTATCACAGCTCATCAGCATGGCTAGACGTCAGTTTGCCTCTAGCTAGGATCGAAACCCGACTGAATTAGCGCCAGTCGGGGATTCTACCACTAAGCCGTTGGTGAAAAGGCCTGACGATTGCGTCCAGCATGAAACAGCCTGTCGCCTCTAAGTGTTGACTTCAATGTTCACTTTTATATTTATATTTACATACGTTCTATCTCTGATATTGAGCACTTTATCCCATAATAGCACATCTTAAAACTATATTTCTTCATATATATATATATATATATATATATATATATATATATATATAATTCATAAAAAAAACACCGAGACTTTCCCAAAACATAAAATGAGTTGGTTATATGTTAAGCGAGTAGCTTGGAAAGTGGTAATCATTGATCCATCAGTCCATCAATTTACATGTGATGAATGTGGCAGAGTATGTCTCCAAAGCAGGCCTCGTTAGCTACAAGAAGAGTCATATTGATAGATCCATGACAAATTACGAAATAATTTTTTAATTATTTTTTAATATATATATATATATATATATATATATATATATATATGGCGGATTTAAAAAAAAAAGACATCTTTCGGTTTGCACTACACATATTCCGTCTTAGTGCTTTGCCTGTATATGAAAAAATTGCGCACTGAAGATGACAGTTTAGAAATATCGAAAGTACTTGGCCATCTGACAACAACTCAAATATAAGGATCTTATTATTCAAGGAATTGATAGCAAGTTAATGTCTTGTTAGCGAAGTGATTTAGTCATTAATCTAATTAACATTGCTAAATAATTCTTTTTATAAATTACTTCTTTATGATATAATATAAAAGCTGCAGACTCTAATATATATGTATTATATATATACGAAGAAAAATATACAGAAAAAACAAACAAAAATCTTAATATGCAATTATGCTGTATTAATGTTAATATAATGACAACGTCGGACGTTTCGGCCTATTTTGGACCATCATCAGGACATATTCATAAAATAGACCGAAACGTCCGACGTTGACATTATATTAACATTAATACAGCATAATTGCATATTAAGATTTTTGTTTGTTTTTTCTGTATATTTTTCTTCATACTGTCGGATCTATATCCATATATTTGCTTACATATTATATATATATGTGTGTGTGTTGTGTTTGTGTGTGTGTGTATATATATATATATATATATATATATATATATATATATATATATATATATATATATATTACAGTGATATTCACCCTGTACAAGGCCCAGAGGCCACTCGAGGTAGAGGGTTACAGATTAAGAGGCTGGTAAGTGGGTAAGATAACTGTTAGCCTAAGACTACAAGTTAAGGTTGTAGTGATCGGGAAGCATCCTCTTAGGAGTTGGTTCAGCTAAGTAGCGGTTTGATACTACTAATATGCGGAGTGTGTCAGAAAACCTGCAGGAATCGTTTCCGTCTTGCCTGTCACATGAAAACTTACAAACCGGGACAGAATTTACAAAGTAGGCCAGGCTCTGTACAGAACAACTTTAGTTAGCCGCGTCCGCAATAACCATTGTAAGTCACTTGCTGGCTTTACGAGACATTGTCATTCTCACGAGAACCAAAAACATAGCATAAACTTGTCAGTTTTTTTGCCATACTCGTTGCCGTGTCGACAGATATCAATGTGTGTATTCAACAATGTCGTAAAATAATATCTTAAAATGTGTGAATAAAATCGAGAATATTTATTTAAATGTACTCTACTCTCTCCCCAACTCATTCACTTTGACAAACGAAAGTTCTTAATAAGCTCTAGTGTCGAGGTGGAAAAATTCAAAAAAATTACCAAGCGTAGTTCGTGGCTGGAGAGTGGGGGAGGGGATTTAACAACCGAAGATACGGAAACAGAAATGAACAGGATGAGATATTGTTGTCGTGTCTAAGAAAGATGTATTTTTTGCAAAGACGTTCAGCCTGTACAAAGCCCAAGAGCCACTCAAGTTACAGAGTAAATGGAACCATACCAAGCATGGCGATAACGATGATGCCACTAACGGTGCAAGGGGGATACTGGTAGTAAAGGAGAAGGAAAAGACTTTAGAGGGAACCGAAAACCCGATTTCAAACAGGAAATAAAAGGAGAAACTTCTTCCCATGTTCAAAAGACAGTGGAGGAGTGTGAACCCGACGATAGGCGAACTTCTCTACTTCTTTTGAAAGAGGAAAAACTAATTAGTGTGTGGCAGAAAGTAATGGTCACCCTTGAAATATTAATAATTATAGTAATATAGAATTCTGTTTATAGATGAGAAAAATATTCCGTGGTGAAGTTTGTGCCCCCAAAATCTGTGCTTCGTCAGAATTATTAATATAAAATGTCAAATCAATAGTGTTTATATGAACTATGGAATACCAATTGGGAAGAAGAGACTGTTCATGTAATCTTGAAGGGTGAGATGACAGTAATCGGGTTGTATTCTAAGTTTACCAACACCCCGGTTTTTGTCGCTACCACCGCGTTTTTAAGTGCGTGTTTGTGCGAAAACAAACAGTGCAAGTCGAAGTCGACTGGAGGTGGGTGAAGTAGGTTGACAAGCAGTCGACCAGAGAGAGAGAGGGAGAGAGAGAGGGGAGGAGGGAGAGAGAGGGGGAGAGGGGAGAGAGAGAGAGGGGAGAGGGGAGAGAGGGAGAGGGGGGAGAGAGAGAGAGGGGGAGAGAGAGGGGAGAGGGGAGAGAGAGAGGGGGAGAGAGGAGTGAAAGCGTCGGCTTACTGCTGTAATAAGGAAGTGAACTCAAGTTATCTGCAATATTGGGTCAATAGAACCCGCTTATATCCTGATAGTGAAATAATTACGGCAACTACTAAGAACAAAAAGGGTGAACCCGAAAACTACTTCTCTCCTTTCAGAATTATTTGCAATATTTGTTTTTTTTTCCTGGACTATTTTATATACACTACTTTCTTGTAAAAGAAGCATTATTCTTTTTGTACCAATTTCTTTCTTATATACATCTACATAAATTATTCTTTGGACGCGAATCGACTTGTTCATATTTGATTTTTTTCTGCTTGGCCTGATTCTTGCCCCAACGGACTTGCAGGTAGACCAGCTGAATCTTCCGGGATCTACGAATTGTTCATTGCTCTCCAGGATCAAAAAAATCACAACGTGGCTGGAAAGTGGAATCGAATCGACATTGTGAACCGGAGACTTTGATTGAACCTGTAATATTGGACCAGGACAGGACCAACTACCGGTCTTGTAGAGTACATCATTCCAGTGGGGTCAGGATAGGTGTTACAAGTGAATAAAATTTCAGAGTTCAGACGGAGACATTAGAAGTATAGAATTTAAGTAGAATTTAGAAGGAAGCGAAAACCGTGGAGGAGGGTGAATGGGACGATAAACAAAAATGAGTGAAGAGAGAGAGAGAGAGAGAAGTTCGTACGAAAAACAATGGAAGGAGACATTTGTGGTTGACGAAGGAAAGAGGAAGCGACTAGAACTTCAGAACTGTATGTGTCATTGTTAATAGGACGAATGAGAACTGAGGAGAGGTGAAGAAATTACCAAGAGAAACATGGCTGTATATTCATGTGTCGACAAATCTCGAATTTGTCATTATTAATTAAATGCTAATGGTTTTGAGCGCTGTAGCCGACTAAGTAAATTTGCAAACGATTAGAGTAGACTAGAAAAATAAAATAAATATATTACTTAAAGGGTGTTCCAATAATTTGGACCGATTTTAATGTGAATTAAGTTTAAGCGTCTAATGATTTTTTCTTTTTCTTTCAGATTTGGCGGACATTTGGGCGATATTATTTTTCACACATAATTGTCATGACTTAAATAACATGATCCAATAGAAAAATAAATAAATTTTCACCAATAACACTGATTTATTTACTGCTGACTTTGATCCGTCTTAATGAAACACCCTTATAATTAATACGTCTTAATGAAACATTCTTATTTGAGAAATTTCAGATGTTTTTGTGCGTATGTTATCAGGAAGACATACACCTGGCTTTAAACATATTTTTCAAAATTAAGTCAAGTACTAATTAAATTGCTGGAACGCATAATGAAGAAAGTAGGTCCGGAGAATTTAACACCCAAAGGACATCTTGAAGGGAGAAAACGAGTAATAACCCACTTAACACGTTGCGCAAATGGCAGGACAAATAACTGACACAATCATTTCTCAACCTTTTTTTAACCTCGTGAAAACCTTGAAATAGTTTTCATGTCTTCGGGAAGTCCTGCATAAAAATTATTACATACCGTCATTAATATCTAACTTTTTTATATTTTTTATCGTAGTTGACGGGGTAAACATAACATATGGACATGCGTCCTGTACTCGAGAGATTCACTCAATGATACACGCATCCACTACCCGTCCTGGGTATGAAAATAAACTACATCCGCGTTCTGGGTAAGACGATAAACTACATCCAACAGAAATTTTTGAATTTGTAGGTCTGATGAATTGGATCGTGATTAGGATTCCAATGTAATAAATTATAACCATGGAATATTAATGTTTGAGCCTTTTATATTATATTCTTACTCTGTCCTGGACATTGAGTTCTACCTGGATTATATCCTCTTGGGAACTTATATATATATATATATATATATATATATATATATATATATATATATATATATGACCACTAATATTATCAATATATATATATATATATATATATATATATATATATATATGGGGGGGCGATGGGTAAATTGTCGCGATTTTATATTTTTAATTTCGCGCATGCGTGTTGTTTGTTTCTGATTTTGGCGACTGAACAGTGTAGTAGGGACAGTTGTGCACTGTCTGTGAGAAAAGGAGCACCTTGACACAATTAACTCCACCAGAAATTTGGAAACGGCATGCTGTACTGCTTGGCATTCGCTCCAGAAGCTCTAGTGTTTGGCTCTCATTCTGAGGACAGTGCAGAAGATTCGGATAGATTTGGTAGTAATTACCAGTGACCACTAGTAATGGCGACGATATACCTCCATTCATCTTTCCTTAGAGCCTCAAACTCAACACGGCGGTCTACATCAAGTGCCTTGAGTAGGTAGTGCTGCCCTGGAACAAGAGGGTGGCTGCTGGAAGACCCTATGTCTGGCAACAGGATTCTACACAATGTTACACAAGCAAGAGAAACCAGTCATGGCTGTCAGACAATTTCTGCGATCACATCACCTCTTACACCTGGCTAAATAACTTCGCAGACTGCAACCCCCTTGATTATCATAGTGGGGCGCAGTTGAGCAACAAAACTTCTTGTAACACCAAAGATGAACTGAAGGCAAGGATTATGGCAGCATTGACCAACTTAAACAAGGAGACCGTCCAGAAGAGATGCAGGAGACTCTGAAATCGTCAGGAGGCTGTGGTTGAAGCCAATGGCGATTTTATTGTATAAATTTACTTAGTATTTCGAGATGTTTTTGTGTAATTATGGTAAATATATCTGTTAAAATGAGATGTCAGTGTTATTTTCATTTTTGCTTCATTTAGACGACAATTTATCCATTGCACTGTGTATATCGGTTAAAATGAGATGCCAGTGTTATTTTCATTTTTGCTTCATTCATTTAGACGACAATTTATCTATCGCACCCTGTGTATATATATATATATATATATATATATATATATATATATATATATATATATATATATATATATAATGTGTGTGTGTGTGTGTGTGTGTGTGTGTAAAAAGTTTTAGTTATAACTACAATATATTTGTAAATGTACAATATGAATAGAGACAAAAGGAAAACTTATTTTAGCCGGCGTGTTTCGTCCTCTGAGAGATTTTATCAAGTCAAATTTGCGGATTTTATTTTGCAAATAAAAGTAAAAATGTTAGTTCTTCAAATTTTTTTAAGTTTAAGTGAAATGTTTTACATTTAAACATTCATTAGGTTAATTGAAAAGTCTAGGTAAAATTAAAGAGAATGCTAAGTGACATAATTTCGAGAAATTAAATTTTGTGCCACTTACTGTTTGTTAAAAGCAGAACTCCTTAGAGAATTTAATCATAATTGTTTTTTTTTAAAAAAAACAAAAAAAAAAAAACAGGATCTGCAATTACCGAAAATCAGCTCTGAATCGTAAAATAAATAAACCAATAAAACTAACATATTTAATTAGAAAAAAACTTTTAATCACTTTTATGATATATTTTGGACACTATTATCATAAGAAAAAATTGATAAATAATGAATTTTTACAAGAAGTGTTTTCATTTTTTTAAAAATTCTAATAATAATAATTTATAAAGTTTTAAATCTTAAAAAATTATCTTTGAAAAATCTGTCTTAATTTGTCCCTGTTAAGTGATATTTTTATGAAGTAAAAACTATATTTCCTAATCATAGATGGAAATGTTTATTACGATTGAGCGACGACCAATATTTTAAAAAGAATTTTGATTTTTTTGTGTATAGACGTACCGATTTTTGTATATAGGACGTTCATGCACGATATCATTAGAAAATAAGAGTGATAACAATATTAAATTTAAAGCCAAGGTATCTAAAATTCAATAAAACATTAAATTACGGAGAATATTTTCCTAAATTCGTAAGATTACTAGGTAGTTAAAAATTTTGTAAAAAGGCGCTCACGTGATATTCAAGTAATTTTTACAAATATATACGCCGAAGAATTAGATAAACTTCCGTCTGTCAGTCAACTTGTCAAAACCTTAAATAAACAGCTACCGCCATGTTAAAAATGCATTTCTACGATATTTTAAACTTAAAGTAATTATTTGTTTCAAATCAGATTAAATAAACCAGCTAATATTCCTCAAATAATATTTCAGAAAGTTATATTTTATTTTTAAATGATTTTTTAATAAAGATAATAACTTTATGCTGAAAGATGGTTAAAATGGCGCTAAAATCAGCGATGTTATTGATTTCAAAACGAAAACTCCTTCCAGTCAACTTAAATTAGTTTATTTAAATATTTCGGATTGGAAATATGAAATTTAGTCGATTAGCTTGAAATTAAAACTAAAATAAAAGATTTAGGAAAGGTTTTCTATTTTTTTAAAAATCATTCATTTAAAACATTAAGTTAAAAAAATAAACTTCTTGATAACGTAAGAATATAACTGAAAACTTTCTGATATATAAAACATTTGGACAATTTTTACAGACTTTATCCAGAAAAGAAAACACTGACACAAACACAAGAAAAATTAAATAAAACCTTAATTGCAGTTCCTTGTCAATCGATCCTGACTTGGCATCTCGATTTCAGTCACATTCTCACAAATTTTTATGACAACTGCTCTGACAAGCTTTTTCCCTGGTGTCCTGACTACATGAATTTAAATGTGCTACTAGATTGGCATCTAGGTCCTACCCTTTTACTGTTGAAATAGTTAAATGTAACCACCACTTCTACTTCAACAATTTATTTTCTCGTACTTCCCGACAGTGGAATTCCCTTCCGTTTACTTGCTTCCCTGACAACTACAATCTTCAAAAATTTAAATGCAACGTCGATCGCTATTTTCTGCTGACTTGAATACCGTTCATCTTTTATCTTTTCTCAATCTCCCCTATACTCAGTTTTTTCTCTCACTTTCACTCTCTGTAACGAACCCCCTGAGTACCAATGGCACTCCTGCCTTTCTTGGGGTGAAATGATTGAATATATATATATATATATATATATATATATATAAAGCCGTAAAAAATGTATTTGGGTAAGGGTTTGGCTTCACAACTCGTCCTTTCAAATAATGAAAATGAAACACGTAAAAATATTTAAGAATACTCTTTAATGTAGCAAACTGAATTTTTAAATGGTCTTTTCAAATAATGAACGAATAATTCCGTAAAAAAGAAACATTTTCTGAAGTTTTAAAAGATTGTAAATGGATTTTTTTATATAAGGAAATAAATAAATGTGTAAAAGGATGGATTTTCTGGATGGATTTTCTTTTAAAAGATATGCTCTCTAAAGAAATATAAATGGCAATATAAATGGCCCGTTTAAATAATAAAACTAAATCCGTAAAAAGAAGCATTTTCTCGTGGTTTTAAAAGATACGCCTTCTAGTAATTGGTTGTATAAATGCTCCTTTCAAATAATAAAAAATAATTCTGTGTAAAAGAAGCATTTTCTGGTACCTTAAAAGTTACTCTCTCTAATATAGCAATTTGAATTTGTAAATATTTTTTTTCAGATACAGAAACAAATGAATCCATAATGTTAAAAATACTTTATAGCACTTTTAAAAGATATGCTCTCTCGAGTAATTAACTGGCTATATAAATGGTCCTTTCAAATATTAACAAATAAATTACTAAAAACAAAACATTTTCTGGAGTATTAAAAGATAAATTATCTAATATAACAATTTGAGATTATAAATGTTTTTTTCGTATAAGGAAACAAATAATTCCGTAAAAAGAAGCATTC